CGCCTCCCTGGAAACCATTTGTCTTTGCTTCACTCAGTCCCACGTCCAGTGGCCATGACGACGGTTGCAGTTGCCGGTGCTTGTTCTCTCGAAGGACTTCCGGCAGCTCGCAGTCTTCGTCGTATGCACCAGACGGCAGAAGACTTCCAAGTGCAATTGTTGGACGTCGATCTACAGTCTGCCGCGACAATCTAGGCTCTTTGGGATCTCGTGACACTTGTGCCCTCATGCAAGACGTCCTCTCTGAGGTGACAGTGCAACTGGAAACCAGACGATCCGCTTCTGAACAGTACAGTTGCGGATGGACTCTTCGCGGATTCTGACAGTCTAAGGCCGCAAGAACTGGTTTCGCGGATTCTCTGTTGAGACTCGGTCCTGGGGCCTGAGTGGCCCAGTTTTCCTTCACACTTCGAGTAGGCCAGCTGTGGCTTCTGGTCTGACGGACGGTGATTGGACAGGTTGAAATTGCCCAACTCCCTCGAGACCTGCTTGCACCTGCGTCCGAGCAGTACGGCCAACTAAGACTTCGCACAAGTCGAGTCCTGATTTTGCCCTCATGTTGGGCATAGCGCAAGGCCGAACTGATGGTACTCGCCTGACCGTGGAGTCGACCATTGCTCAGACTGGCAGTCCGCAGAGCCCCAGCTGACTTGGTTGCTCGCAAGTCGTGAGTTTGGATGAGCAGATTCGAAGACTCGACAGACCCGTGATGGTAGGCCGAGTTGAGTCGGGCCGGTCCGAATGATGGGGTCTCTGGTTTTACGGACGGCAGAAGCTGTGAAGGCAAGAGCCTTGGATCTTCAGCGAGTGGAATTCCACAATCCTGGCTGGGATTGGCCGATTCTTGTGCCCAGTTCGGACGGGAGAGGCCCAAACTGACTGGACCCGCTTCATGGGAGGTTGGAAGGGCAGCAACATAATGGGCGGGTGATGAAGACCGAAAACATGACGAATGAGCGGGATCTGGTTGTGGCAGATGTTGTGTCGATACGGCGTGGCCGAGGCAGAGTCCGAGAGATTGGTGACGTAACAAAGAATAGTTGGTACCGAATGCATGGCCACAGGCGGAACAATCGAGCGGTTGGCTGCACCGTTTGTGTAGTCTTTTATGTCTACAGAGATTGCTGAATTGTGTGTAGGATTTGTGGCAGACCTGGGGTGCAGGATTCAGTGGACAGGAAAGCGATGATACAAGAAATGAAGAAGAGGGCTCTTTTATAAGCAAAGACATTTCATGCTTAATCCACATGAAAAAACATT